AGTGATCTTCTACAGTGTTTGCATATGGATGGCTAAGTCACTTGAATTAAAAGGAAGTCATTTTCATCACTTTTGGGTCTTCTATGGAGGAAAATCGTTTATAGGGATAAATAAACTCCCTAAGAACTCTTGATCCCAATCCAATGGATGAAGCTATGAGAAAGCATTAATGATAAGCTCCATTATAGGATGTTTTAACTATAAGGGCTATTTCCATAAGCCTCATGGGAAAGCCATTGTGTGTTTCAGTGGGTGGTCCCCGAATATCCTTTCAATGGAAACTTCAGGGACTCTGAGCTTAGCAGTGTTTCCCCTCTTTGCAGAAACACAAGAAAAAATATTTTAAGACTGTCCCTAACTGCGCCATCATTTTCTTTACCCCTCTGCCCCATTTGTTTTCGTGTAGTATGTTGGGATGGGTTCTCACTAATAGCCCTGGACAGCCTAGAACTCACAGGCTGGCCTGGAAGCTGCCCCATGGGTGCTGGGACTACAGGAATGTGCCATCACACCTGGTTTCTTCATTTTTAAAAACAAATACATAACCGGTTCCCTAATACTGACCAGCTTGTGCTTTCATCTTAAGGACAACCACAGCTTCACTTGGTAATGGAAACTTTCCGTCTGAACTTGAGCCTAGCCTGGTTGTAGGTGAAGGGTGAAGGCAGTCAAGAGCCAGAGGAGCTCCATGTGGAAAAACCCTGTCAGGGGTTGGGGACGTGAACTGTCCTTGGATTTTTGTACAATGATCCCGTGCCTACTCTGGCTTTCCTGTTTTTAATTCCAACTTTTGGAAGCTGTAACTTTCATATCAATTTATCTCTTTTTAGTCCTTGTACCTAACTCTCGTTCTTTAGAAATCTGCAAGGCTTGTCCCTGTTAAGTGGTGCTTTCTGCTTTAAAATTGCAGCAGAGTTCTGGATTTCTTTTCCTGCTTTATGCATCTCTGCATCCTAGCATCACGCCTAGCGTGCAACCCAGGCCAGCTACTAACTACACTGTGCTGGCCACCCCAGCACCGTGTCTCCCTAGGACCGAGACTTGCACCAGCCTTGCTTTCTGTAAACCCCACCCCCAGCCCAAAATGTATGTGGCCCGTTGTGTGTGTTCAATAGCAACCTGTGCACTGGGTGAGTGGGCAGCAAACGCCATGGTGTTGTGGCTGTGGGCACACATAACCTGAACTCAAATCTCGCAGCTACCCTTTCTTACCCATGCGGCTCGAGCCTACGTTCCCTAAGGCTCGGTTTTCTAGCCATGGGAAGGAACTGAAGCTACAAACAGACCACAGAAACACAAAGGAAGGAATGGAGACGTAGGGTCAGTTGTCACTGATGTTCATTCTGTGTGTACTACAGCCTACACTGCGCTACGTGCTCACCGCCCTCTCCTTTAGTCCGCACGCCACCCTAGGAAGTGTCTCCCCAATTATGCTGGTGAGGGGGAGGAAGCTTCCTGAGGTAAAGAAGCTAGCCCAAGAGCACTAAAGTCTGTGTCACCTGGGGGTGAAGGAACCTAAACCCACTCCTTAGGTGCCAAATCATGGCTCTCTGCCAGACTGCCTGTGTACCTGTGAGCACCTTCTCGCCCAGCCTGGGGCTCCTAAATGCGAGTTGTCTTTAAGGCCAGCTCAGAGATCTCTTCCACCAAGCCTTTTCTGATCTCCACAGCCAGGACTCCTTTCTCTGAAACCCACTTTCTCGTTGTAACCTAAGATAATGCCACATCCTGCTTGCTTTCTGGACGGCATACATCCGACCTCCATTGCACGTTGTGAGACGGCGCGCAGGAAGCTCCAGGGCTCTACATGTGCCTCCTGTTCTGCCATGCTCACCGGGTGCTGCGGTACATGTTAAGAAACTGTTTACAACTGAGTGAGTCAGTGGATGGATGGATGGGCGGATGTATAGATGGAATTAATATGCACAGAGAACCATAAAACTATTGCAATAGACTAGGATAACATCCATCTTTATTAGGAGAAATGATGGGGAGACTATCATGTGCATCCCCCTGATTAAAGCTGGGAAGAAAAGAAGAAAAGAATGTACGGGTGTGCCTTGGAAAACCTTCCCTGAGGAAAAACAAGCTAACAAGTCAATGTGAGTGAGGGAACACTTCTAAACCAAACCAATTGAGCGACTCAAATAGAAGTAAGATGGGGTGAATCCACCACTTAGAAGCAGTTATCAGATGCTCAGTTGAGGAGGCAAGAAAAGCCTCCCCCCAACTCCCACCCCACACGCTCCAAAGAAGTTTTCTATCTTTCCCAATTCCGGTTACAAATCAGGCCTACCTGTCTATGCCTATTGGATATTACCCTCTGCATAGATATCACCCTTTGAACAGGCAACACTTTTAGAAGCCTATTATCCACTAACTTTCCGACCCTCCCCTCTTTAAGCGACTGAAACAACAAGGCTTAGACAATCCCTCCCTTTTATCAGCTCAAAGAACAGCTTTCTCGGTTCTTGCTAATACCGCCATGCTCTAAATCGCAGCCACTGGCACTGAGCTCTGCAACACTTTGGCCATCACTGGTACCCAAAAACTGCACAGGGCCATCCCACATGCTGTGTACTTAACAGCACCTGATAGTTAAATTCTAGGCCTGCAGAGGGCAGAGAAGGAGTATGGGTTTTGGTTAAACCATAGTGGGTTTGAATCCAAGCCCTAGGAGTCACTTAATTCTGTAAGCCCCCATCCCAACACCTGGAAAGTGGGGATAGCAACACCATATTGGTTCTATCCTTGTACCCATTGCCAAAAGCACATGTGAAATGTCTAGCTCAGTGCCAACACATAGCATGGGCCCCATACGTGGTAGAATGGCCTAAAAGGCTCCAGCATACATTATAAAAAACCCCGCTTCCATACCCAGCTTCCCCAAATGGGTGATTCTCCATCTGCCACTCTTCTCTCCAAGACCCCATTCCTGCCCAGGCATATGAATTCTGAAATAAACATCAGCAAATGGAAGGTGCTCCACAGAGGCCCCTCCCACTGCAATTGTCCATTCTGAATATCCCCTCTTTCCCGGCCTCCTAGCACCCTGGACTAAGAGCAAAGCAACTGCACACCGACCCTGTTTCTCCCTCGACTCTTGCTGAGCTATGCCCCTGAGATTCCGGAAGTAAGGAGAGAAATGGATGCTACATCAGTGAGTATTCATGGCCTGTCCCTAAGCTGCCTCCTGAAGCAGAGAACTTCCTAGCACCAAGACAACCGAGGAGAGGAGAATGAAACTTAGGATGAAGTGGGCCATCGCGGTGAGGAGTAGGTTGTACATTTAACTGAAAGTGGGAACAGACTATGTGAGGTGTGCAGACACTGAACATGCCTTCCTCCATTTCTACAGCCGCAGACAGGGGCATGCTGCTGTTCTGGGTAAGTGTGCTGATGTTGGAGTTCCAAGTGAAGGATGCTGCATGAAAATAACTGATGATTAGAGCTGCAATTTCCACCCCAGGATATAAACCTATTACCTGCAGCTGTATGATATATCTTTTTAGAAACCAGGTCTAGAATAAGGTATGGATTGAATAAGTAAATAGTCAAAATAGGCCATATAGAGAAAATCATCTGGAAAACCTGTCAGACTCTACACAGGGCGTCTGTCACCATTTTTAAATTTTATTTATTGTTATTTTATGTGCATATTTGTCTGTGTGAAGGTGTCAGCTCTTGGAGTTACAGACAGTTGTGAGCTGCTATGTGGGTGCTGGGAATTGAACTCAGGACCTCTGGAAGAGCAGCTAGTGTTCTTACCCACTGAGCCATCTCTCCAGCCCCTGACATCATTTTTATATTTCAATTTTTTAAATTATCATGTTACTTCATGTATAGCATTTGACCTAGTTACACTTGCAAAATGTTTCTAATATTAGTGGACACAAGCTAATTGATGCACTCTAACAGGTTTTTTTCCTTTCCCTGAAATCAGTCTGGCTTTATGCATAATCACAGAAAAGGTCTGTACCAGTTAACTCTTCAAAAATAGTCCAGGTCAGGGTCCCTCAATGGCTCAGGTCATAGATTTTGGTGCTGTGAATGTGTATTCATTTCTTTTCTTTTTTGTCCCGGGGACCTATGCCAGGACTAGGCTTGGCCTCTGCCACCATCTCAGTATCAAGGATGTCATTTTCCCCTAATTCTGAAGATGTATTTTGTTTTGATTTATTCTTTTTTCAGGCAGATTTACATAGCCCAGGTTAGACTCAAAGCACTGTAGCAGGAGATGACCTTGAGTTCCCAGTGTTTCCACGTCTGCCTTCCCAGTGCTGCGATTACAAGTGTGTTCCCTTCCACCTGCAGAAACAAATGACCCAGGCACGTTTGCTTTTCCAGCTTACAAGACAGAAGCCCACCAGGGCTGGGTCACCTACCTCCCAGGACCTCACAGTCGCTGTCCATGCTGTCATGTACACCTGCGAAGATGTTGGCCAGGGTGGACTTGCCCACCCCTTGCTCCCCTATAAGCACCACACGGTAATAGGTGTTTCCTGACTCAGAGGAGATGACGGAGTCTGTGGAGTCGGAGGACCAGCTCTGTCGGCAGTGGTCTTCAGGAGTGGTAGAGCGGCAGCTGCGGAGGTTCCAGGGCTGGGGATCCTTCTGGACCATCAGATGCCTGCCATCCGCAGGAATGCTCCAGCGCTGCTGTGGCTGCATGCCCACAGTGCCCTGGCGCATGGTGACATTATTCAGAGTCATCGTGGGGTCCTAGGAACAAAGCAGCCAAGATGCCAATATTAGCAAGGATGAGCTAGGGAAGTGCAAACACCGTTGTCAGTGGCGTTCCATTTGATGGGTAGGAATTAAGCAATTTTAACACAAGGGACACCCGTGAAACAGTCCTCAAGGCCCTAGCAAGCAAATCTTCCAGACATACACACACACACACACATACACACACACACACACACACACACACACACACACACTAGCTAGCTTCTTAAGCAGGCTGTCATTTGCAGTCCCAGTAACATCACCAACTGCCCGTAAACTTCCTCCATCCTTAAAGGAACTTTGAAAGCCCCACTGGGAGCTGGCACAGGGGCAGTTGGAAGGAACCCACTGCCTCCAGAAATGGCTTTACCATCAGCAACAAGTCAGTGCTGCTGGGGACCAGCTGGCCAGGTTAGCTGCTCTTGTCTAAACATGGCTCTTAATCACAGCAGTGTCTTGCAGCCTCTTGGGCCTCAGTGGGAAACACGTGGCAATGACATCACTCCCCTGGCTGGACCAGACAGGCACTTTGGGGGAACTTCCATGTTTAGTAAAGTTGCCCTGATGGTCTCCAACTGAAGAGAACATTATCTGGGGAGTGGGGCAATTTGTGTTTGAGGTTTATGCCCTACCTCTGCCCTCTTGCCCTTGGCTACTGTTTAGCATACTAGCCCTGCACCTAGTCCTGACACCGGCAGGACCTGCTCACATTTGCACGCATCAGCTTGTACAGAAAGGGCTTCATTCTTAAGGAACCTCGTCCACGCCAAGATTTGTTTGGTTAGCTCAGAGTTCCACTTTCTTGAAGCAAATCAGAAGGTCAAAGATTCATCGAAAAGACGCTCAACAACTTCCTACCACTTTCTCCTAGCAACACTTCCTCGCTTGACAGGTCAGTCTGTTCTGTCAAGACTTCCTGAGAGAACACAGAAGCGGTTAACTCTGCAAGTGCCCCGCGTGAGCGCTAGGATCGCAGTGAGCTGATACAGCCTACTCCACACCCCAACTCCTAAGCCACTAGCCAGAACCAGCCGGTTTCTTTATAAGTCATAAAAACAGTCCCTGGGTTGATGGCCGCCTGGCCACCTAATCGGTAAGGTGACACTCCTCCGGGACTGAATCAAGGAACCCCCATGAGAAGCATATTCTTTGCACCTGAACTTTCTCCCATGGCAGAACCCCCAGCACAGACCTCACAGTCCAGGGGCTCCCTCCCCAACTTAAAAAGTTCAGTGGTCCGGAACTCCCCTCCCCTCCGTGATGCCCCCTTACTTGGCTGCACCCGGCCGCAGGGTGGGCGTCTGCCGTCGGTCGGCACAATGCCTGCTGCAATGCCTGCCACCTGCGATGTGGTGCCAGCTCCGCAGCCCGAGGCCGTGTGGTATCTGCCGGCAGTGCTGCCTCCTAAAGCCACCGCTGCCGGCCGCCGTTTATAGCACGCCCGGCGGCCCCGCGACGGGGCTTTTCCGTGACGTCAGCGCTCCCGCCGGGAGGGGGCGGCTCTGCAGCAAACTCTGAGTTGCAGCCACTTGGCTAAATCAGTTAGTTACTTGCAGTCATGTGATTCCCCTCGCCCCTTGAGGGGAGAGAGGAAAAACATGACAGTTCAGTCCTTGGCCTCCTTGATTTTGTTTTATTTTCTTTTTACCAGGTGGACACTGGAAAAAATACACTTAGTGCTGCTTAATCGCCCTTCCCAGCAGGGCACTTGTGAGCTGTCTGAATAAAGGATGGAGAAAGAGACAAGCCTGAGTTGCGAGTCCAGCCTTGCCAAGAGAGCAGATCAGCCTGAGTGAGCAAGACTTCGGCCTCCAGGCTACACCCACCCTGGGTGGGCAGGCCAGTTTTACAGCATGCTCTGAGAGGCAATGGGCTATCCTGCTTCCTGCCACCTTCTCTCTGGGTTGGTAAGACGGGAGCACCATATTGCTTTGTTTCCCTCTTCTGGTCCAGACCCAAAGAGGAGGGGCCGGAGGAAAGAGCCAGGGACACCTTGGAAAGGGCAGTTTGGCTCCAAACAGCTTGAGATCAACATTCCTGCTCTCCTGTTCTGGCCACAATGCTGAAGCCTCTCAATCAGAAATGTAATCACATCCCAATTGGCGCATCTCAGAACTGAGCTGCTTGGCTTGGCTGGAACTGTTCCCTGGAGCCTGGGCTTCGCAGTCATGGAGAGATGCTCAAACCCAATCCCCTGAGAGTCCTGGGGGCGAAGGACACCAGATCACAATTGCTATTAACACTTGCTAGGATTTCCAAAAGCCCGTGGTACTGGCGGGCCCGGGACCTTGCTCCTTACCGCAGTGGTAGACTGAGGAACTAGAGATTCTGCAGGGGATCCTGGCCAAGGTCAGGGTTGGTGGCAGGGGCAGCGTTCAGGATCTAGTCAGAGTGACTTTTTAGCTGTACCACTAAGTGACCTCTTCCCCAGGACATGGGTATTTCCCTAGGACAGGGGCATTTCCCAAATGCTGTGTTTAGAGTCCATGGTAGCCTGTCCAACATATCCATCTGCTTCTCTAGCCAACTTCTGCTCTGGGTTGACTGGGAAGCAGCCAGCAACACCAGTCTCTTGCAGCAGCTGGACTGCTCTGTGGGTACAATGAATTCCCAGTTTTCCTTGCTCATCTATCTGATTTGGGAATTATGCAAGTGACTGGCTTCTGAGACCTATCAGGGACCAAGCTGGTAAAAGCAGAATCCACCAAGTAATAAAAATGTCAGGTGCCTTAGTCTCAGGGGCGGAGCCCCAATCTTATTTATGCACAAGGAAGTTGAGAGCCAGGGGCATGAAGATCACTTGGAGAGGAGAAAGCCAAGCTGGAAGTGCATTCTGGGTACTGCAATGCCCTGGATACTGCTCTTCATCCACCAAGTTATTCCTCAGGACTGACCAGGTGGGAATGGACTCGGGTGTAGAAAGAAAAAGAGGGACTGGGAGAGAAGGAAGAAATGAAAGGGAGATGGGGGAAGAGAGAGGGAGAGGGAGGGAGAGAGAGAGAGAACACTCTGAATCCCCAAAGGCATATCCAAGTAGATATATTGAGAATTATCCTGTTTCCTCTGTCTCTTACTCTGTCAGCTATACAGAAACACTGTGAAGTAAAACTGCTGTGTGGAGTGTGTAAGCATATCACATAGTCTCTTAATCCTACTTCTGCACGTTGGTAAGAACCTCATGTTGGGAGCTGCAGTGATGGCTCAGTGGTTCAATTCCCAGCATCCACATCAGGTGACTTACAGCAGCCTGTAACTCCAGCCCCAAGGGATCTGATGCTCTCCCCTGTTCTCTGCAGGCGCCTGCCCACACACACACACACACACACACACACACACACACACACACACACACACACTTTTACACACAGACATAATTAAAAATAAGAAATAAAAAGGAAAAGTAAGAACCTTGCATCAGGGAGATGGCTGAGCAAGCATGAAGACCTACATTCAGATCATTAACATCCACATAAAAGCCAGGCATGGGGACATATGTTTGTAACCTCTGTGCTGGAGGGCGGGACAGAGACAGGCAGATACCGGGGCCAGCCAGTCCAGTTTAATCAGTGAATTACAGGTCAGAGAAAGAGCTCATTTTATAAAGTAATGTGGGGAGCAATGGAGGAAGTCATCTAAAGAGTCAGCTCTCATGCACAGGCAAGCACAACCATACACACACACACAATCACACACACACAAACACACACACACAATCACACACAATCACACAAGCAACCACACACACACACAATCACATACACACAATCACACACACACAATCACACAAGCAACCACACACACACAATCACACAAGCAACCACACACACATAAACACACACAATCACACACACAAACACACACAATCACACAAGCAACCACACACACACACACACACACACACACACACACGCATGCACACATTAATAATATAACTGAGTGTCCTGGCAATATCTACTGTGAACTGTTTTAATTGGTATATGTAAAACACTCCAACAAAAATGAACCATAGAGACTGAGGAGGAGGAGGTACAGAGAGGATGCGTTTGAAAGAAAGTATTGATCTTTGACATTTTTTCTGTCCCACAAGAAGATAGATGAGAACAAACAGGAAAATAATAACATAAGACAGGTTCCAACTGAATGACAGTTAAATGAAAATTTAGAGAGAGATAACAATCATGGTTGCACCTCAGGAAAGCACATTTGGGAGCCCAGTGCTGTCCAACAGAGTCCCAGCTAGCTTGCCCAGGATCCCAGCTGCAGGGGCGTCTGAGGGGATGAAACTGCACAGGAAAGGTGGAGTCGGGCGCTGAGCGAGCGGCTAGTCCTGAAGAGGTGAAACCGGCAGCGTTTTGCTGCTTCTTGTTCTGTAAATATCGTCCCCTATTCTTACCGCCAGCATTTCAAGGCTTCCTTAAGTCCCAGCAAAATGAGCTGCTGGAGTCCCGTAAGAGGCCAGAGCCTAACACAGGAACAACAAGAAGCACCTTTCCTACGAAACACCTGGCCTTTATCTCTGCTCTCCCTGCCACGCCCCCAGCAGCTATCCCCATCTTACAGAGGCAATGCTGTGGAGTAGCCACTAGCTGCTCTGGCCAGCAGAGCTGTGCTCTCAGGATAGGGCACTTGCACCCATGATCCCACAGTAGCCCAGGCATTCCTGGGGGAGACTTGACCAACTCTCTTCCTAACCCCTCCAAAAAGAATAGCTGTTGCGGATGACTGCCCAAAGCCTGTGATCTTCCTGGGACCACATTTCCCAGTGAGTGAGGCTTCTTTCTGCAAAGGCATGATCCACAACTCTTCTCCTAGCCCAAAGCCCTGAGCAAGAAGATTAACTTGGTGAACACCCCTGTCACTGCACCTCTGCCAGCGTGGAGACTTGGGCAGCAGCTTCAGTGTTTCAAATGGGGGGAAAGAGGGAGACTAGAGATTTTAGGAAAAACAAAACCTTTTTGACTTGGGGTGTAAATTGGGGGTGTGTCTCTCCTAATCACTGACAGACTATGACCAATAGGGTTTCTATTGCTGTGAAGAGACATTGTGACCATGGCCACTCTTTCAGAGGAAAACATTGAATTGGGGTGACTTACATTTTCAGAGGTTTAGTCCATTGTCATCATGGCAGGAAGTGTGGTGGCATCACGCAGACAGACGTGGTGCTGGAGAAGGAGCTGAGAGTCCTACATCTTGACCTGCGGGCAAAAGGAAGTGGTCTGAGACACTGGGTGGTACCTTGTGCATATATGAGACCTCAAAGCCCGCCTCCACAGTGACATGCTTCCTCCAACAAGGCCATACCTACTCCAACAAGACCACGCCTCCAATAGTGCCACTCCCCTTGAAGGCCATTTTCTTTCAAACAACCACAACGACTCTGAGTACCATGCCTTAAGATTATGGGTTAGCCCAGGGTTCATACTTGCCTGGGACTATAATACTCTTCTACAACTTGCTCTATTCCAAAAGCAATGAAAGCATGCGGTTACCTTTAATATCCTGCCTTACACCACAGGCTCACTACAACCAAAAGAGTTCTGTGCTGGCAAGCAGGGAAAATGAAGTGAACACCATGCAGGCTGTCTCCATTTCCCATCAACAGCCAAGAAGATAACACAAATGGATTTGCTTTCCTTCTTGTTGTGTTTTAAATGTTGTATTGGTCAGCTGTCTGTTACTATAATAAAATAGCTAAGGTAGTTAACTTGCAAAGTCAGTTTGGGGCTTATGGTTCTAGAAGGTTCATAGTCCAAGATGGGGCAGTTCCCTTTTCCTTGGGCCTCTAGCAAGGCAACATATCATGATGGGGGCACGAGTCAGAGATAAAGCAGCTAGCATCAAGAGTCAGAATTGAGAACCCTCCTATCAGGCCCCATCTCTTGAAGACCTGGCCCACCTACCAATGGCACAAACATGGAGTCTCTCAGGAACCTATCTCACTGTCAATCTCTGGGCCTTTAGTGTGTGGCCTTTGGGAGACTTTCTACACCCAAGCTCCAGCAATGTTTACAGTTTAGTCAATTTGGCCAAGGTGTACATTCAGACCCCACAGTCCTTACTAATTCTTAATACAGTTGACTCCAATCGGCTTTTCCCTTTTATATTAGCCCCTGCCCCCAAAGACACGTGTGATCCCTGCGTGGGCTGAAAGAAAAGGTGAGGAGGGCATCTCACAGCAGAAAAGCAAGGTCAAGCCTACACCCTGCCTCCTCCCTGTGAAGCCAAGGCCAGCGCTGGTTTCTGCAAACGGACTGTGGAGGGGCTTGTTAACTATAGACCGGGCATCAGCACGGCAGGAACTGTGGCTCAAGTTAAATTAATCCAGCAAAACTCAGGACACATGCGACGGCAGAAGGAAGGGCGGCCAGCGTCCTCCCAGTAGATGTTGCTAGGGAAAAATTAGCAAGGAGAGTGGTGTGGCTAAGCTCCTTGTAACAAACAAGGAGATGGGGGTCAAATACCCAGCACACATAATAGGTCTCCATCAGCCACAAAAATACTCAGGGGAGGAGCCGGGTGGGAGGCGAAATGTGAGCACAAAAGGAGCCGCCCACCCATTCTGGGAAGCCTGAAGAAGGAAAGAATTACTGTATGGAAAACCATTGCTTTACAGAAGTAAGGGGGGCTGCCAAATGCACAATCAAGAGAGCCTGATTAAGAGAAAATAAAGACAGAAGAAAAGATGGCTAAGAATAACCTCCCAGCCAGCACCCAGAGGCCTACAGGATCCAGATGGACAACCCCTCCAGCTGCATCCCCTTAAGACCCCTCCTCCTCAGCAGACTCCCGCTGAGCACATTTCATTTCCCATTGGAAAAATTCTTAGCTAGTATTCATCCACCATTCTATAGGCCAGTCTGCTGCAGGCCTCCATGGCTACAGAAGCATAGGTAAGCAGGGTCCTGTCTGGATTAATCCTACAGAGAGAGAACAGACTTTTCTTCCCATTCACTCTTTCAAAAATAAAAAAGTGGGGATGGAAATTCTGGACAAGAAGAAACACTGAAGGCACGCCCACTGTCAGACTATTAGCTCCAGTAGTTACAAAATGATGGTCCACCATCAATATTTAAAATGTTCATATCCTTCGAGACCCAGAAATTCTACTTCTAAATGCATATCTTATTGCACAAGGAAATAAAAAGTATGCTCACGAAAAGCAGTGTTGGAAATAGCAGTAATCAGAAACCCCCTCACTACCACCAGCGAATGGGTGCCTCGTGTGTGCACATACAGCAGTGCAAATGAGGGTCGTACATCTACTTACATTAAGAAAAATTAATATCAAGACCATGTTGATACTGTGGAAAGGCAACTTACAGGATATTGATAGTGTAGTCATTCATATAAAAACGTTAATGCCACACTGATAACTATGGTTAAATACGCATTTAGTCTTTTAGTGAAGGTGGACCAACACAGAGAGAAAACTAAACAGCAGCTTCAGAATAGGACCATTCTTGAGGACAAGAATGACAATGGGATGGACAGCAGATGTTCTCAAACAAGAGGCCAGCAAACCAACCATGGCGTTCCTTCCTGGGAGAAGCAGGCTTCTATAAGACACATTCACCTTTAAATGAAAATTGATCAAATCTTGAATTGATGAAGAGTTTTAAGTTCAGTTGATTTCATTTTTTTTTTGAAGTTCAGTTAAAGGCATCGACCTTTGATCTCTGTTACTGTGTCCTCCACAGGCATGGGGACTACTTTACTGCAAAGGGCACACTTACAGAAGATAGTCAAACTAGTTGAATATGGTTGCTGTGCCTGGCACGGTCTGGGCACTGAAGTCCTCACCACACCTTTGCCAAGCAGTTACAACCGTCATTCTCATGTGAATGCTATGGAAACTGAGACTGTGGGGGAAAGTACTACAACTAGGAATTGGCATCTCTTATACGCATTCTAGATCCTGGCTGCGGGGAGGATCCTGGCACACAGTAGGTTTGCAGCCAGGATCTGCCCAAAAAAACTGAATAAAAGCACCACTTTCTTATCTAGTGAGTCATCTAAGACTACTTTAGTCTAGCTCCTCAGTGGCTTCAGCAACACAGGTCCATTGTAAGGCCTGGATGCAAAGGCCTTCAATTCCATACACTGGAGCTTGGTCTCAGTAACCACATGC